TTACCTACTTCCTTAGTTACGCAGGTAGAACTCACCTTTATCCATATGTGTCACATCCATCCAGCCCTGTGATATGCGGATATCAAGGGTTTCTTATGGCTGACTGACACTTGTATCCAGGTGGACAGATTAATTATTAATACAAACTTGTATCCCTAATGCTATAGTATCCTTGTCCCTAGTTAGATTCACCTTCAACCCCCCCCCCCCAACTTAATTTACTTACCTTTTATCCATCACTCTGTGCAGCAGTCAGATCCTCTTCCCGTGATGTCATGTCAGCTGACTCTTCTCGCACTTCTCGTCCAATCAAAAGCTTCTCATTGGGGAGCACCAAATCCAGTGCTCTCCTATGAGAAGCACTGCATGATTGATAGACAAACGTTACATGACCGCGTTAAAAACTCTGTTCTCACAGGGAAGCTGATAATTAATGAGCATTTCCCACAGCCAATACTACCAACAGCTACTTAAAGGACCACTATAGTTACCCAGACCACTTCAGCTCAATGAAGTGGTCTGGGTGCCAGGTCCCCCTAGTTTTAAACCTGCAGCTGAAAACATAGCAGTTTTCAGAAAAACTCACTAGAGTAAATCACACTTATTTGACGTCCAGCGTCATTTCAGATCCCCATAGGAAAGCAGTAATGCTTTCCTATGGGCGGGTTTGAATGCGCGCGCGCCTCCACTCGGGAGCTGATGAGGGCGGGGGAGGAGAGGTCGCCAGTGCCAATGGTGCCTGGCGCTGGATTAAGGTAAGTGGCTGAAGGGGTTTTAACCCTTTCAAAACTGATGGGAGGGGTGCCCTGAGGAAGGGGGGCACTCCAAGAGCCTATAGTGCCAGGAAACCGGGTTTGTTTTCCTGGCATTATAGGATCCCTTTAAAAATGAAGAAACGCTGAGAGCGGAAGGTCCTTTAAATTTCCACCTTTCGTCAATCTCCACATCGTCTATAAATTAGTCCCGACTTTCTCTGATAATAGATTTTAGTTGCATTGTTATTAAAATGGAATTCCAACGCCATCAATACAAGAGTTTCATGACGATTGTACCTTTACGGAATACTCCAAGTGACAAATCGCTTTTTAGCCCAAGGCAAACAATTCCACCTAGATATAAACTCTTCTATTTCTACACAGATTGAATGGGCCATTTACTGAAACTGCACACAAAGCTTCATTCATAAACGCACTGGAACGCACTGTTTGCTAAACAAACTGGTACAAAATGAGAGAAACTATTTCAGAAAGCTTCTGTCTAAATTGGTTTTTCTAGAAACTTAAAAAAACAAAAAACTAATTAGGGGCACACCCAGAACATGCATTTCTCAGCAGTGTTGCTGCCATAGAGACCAAAATTTATACAGAATAAAGATTAAAGGAACAGCGCACACAGAAAATGACAGTCTTACATTTTACAAGGCTGCTTAAAAACACCTCTCTCAGCAAACAAATATGGGGATTCCGTTCCATCATATGGTCATAGCGTGTTAAGTCCAACATTACGTCACAGCTCCACAATATTAGTGGATCGTACACTAATTTTAACATGGGAGACAAATTAAATAGTGCTAAATAAGCTAAATTGTATGACCATTTTGAATAGATATAATGCAAAATTAATGTGATAAAGATTAAAATTAACTAGTTTCTAAAAAAAGAAAAAAAAATATAAAGATACAAAAAAAAAAAAAAAATTAGAAAAGGACCAACGCATTTCACCTCTTTGAATGGACTTTATTAAAGTGCTTTCATAAAGCCCATTCAATGAGGCAAACTGTGGGTTACTTTTTATTGTATCTCTAATAAACTAGTTTATTTTTATCTTTCTGCACAATCCTGCTTTGTTCTGGACATTATACACACCTTATATCACCTATGCTGTGAGGACTAAGCAAAAAAACACTTTTTACTCCACACTTGTGAGTAAGTCTCCAATTATTTTACTTTTCCTGTACAATGTGCACTATATTTTATTTTATACCATTACGGTGAGGACCATTACCACAAGATATATCCAAGAATGGGGATTGTACCACTCCACGCTATTTGTCGGGAGCCATCGCAAGGCTCCATAAAATGCAATATTAAATATGACTGTGATATTCTACATACTATACTATATTGATATCTGTTCTTTTCATATTTCAAAAACATTGAACCATCTCGCAGCAGACCAAGAAGCCCACACCATATCCTTAGGTGGGGATTATACCACCCAGATGTTTTTAACAGAGCTTACTGATAGCTCTACATATTGTCATCATCATATATACAACTGACCTACTGCACTATACAGTTTCCTTTTGCGTGTTTTGTTTCATATTCGAACACTCCTGACGACTTCTCTAGGCGCCATTCATGCCATCTGTATACATGAGTATATATTGAGTGGCAAGAACCTTAGCTTAAAATGTGGTCCTGCACAATATTATATTTAAAATGTTGATGGATAAACAGAGCAATAGCCAGATTCACTCTGACATCTTATAATAGATTTTGGGTTCTGTGGCTTGAATATTCATCTTACTGTGTGACGGCAACCCCCCATCACTTCTTCCACCCTAACTTTCCATCCCTTGAGTCATTTATGGGACTTTTGGTTTGTCTTTGACACGGACTGTAGAACATTTGCTTATGAAGAGATATCTTGTTTGATACCTTCTTTATAAAAAAATAAAAATAAATGAATTACATTGAAAAATTAAAATAGCTTGTTTGGAAAAATTATCCAACTCAACAATAATCCTAATTTATTATTTTGCTTTTCAAGTCACTACAAATCTGTTTAGTGAATAAAACACCGGCCTTACATTATTTTTAAATACAGCATATTTTATGATACATTGTTTCAGTGAAATCAAACCCACACAGTGTATAATGAAGCAGAAGAAACAGAAAATTAAATAAAATCACACAACAAAACTACATAAATGATCCCACATTCAGAATCCAGTACAGTATAAAAACAAACAACGAGGTGTGAGCTTTCCTGCCAATCCCCACATGATCCTAAACATGAGAAATAGCCAATATCACAGCTTGTAATGACAGCACACCACGTCCCCTCTAAAGGCCTCCCTTAACCCCAAATAAAGTTACCAAGAGCCTCCCTCCCTCTGCGAACACAACTTGTCGCCATAATGATTTGTAAATGTTCTGTTTGTATCCAGTCTGTAAACACACACTGAACTTAGAAACATTGTAACATTCTTTAAACACACGCTTTGTAATCACACAGACTAGCCACAAGAGCTCACAATCTAACTCTACTACTAAGGTTTTTGGTTTATTTTTTCCTCCCCCACCCCAGGGAGATATATCTCTATAAACAAACAGCTGCACTGGTCTCTCTTGGCAAGTACCGGTGCCCTAAACTCGCCATCTCTTAGTAAATACCCCTCACAGACCTACTTGCCCCCTCATACCTGATGATCTGGACAGGGAGCCCTGTTCCTCTCTCCTGCCTGGGTAGATTAGAGTAAGCAGCCCTAGATCCCACTCTACCAGTCAGACAGACTAGGCAGGGTTTGGGTGTGGATAACATGAATGTTTGTTACACTTCCTTCTCAACTGCAAATGTCAAAGTAAGAGAAGTGAGCTGCGAGCTCCCTCTGCTGGAAGTAACGAGGTTTGCAGGGAAATCTGGAGTTAACCCTTTAGCACAGGTTGGGGGGAAGGGGTGTACTGTAAGGTAATTATTATTATTATTTTATTATTTATATAGCGCCATCACATTCCGTAGCGCTGTACAATGGGTGTTAATTCAGTGCCAGCCTTCCCGTTTGTCGGGTCCTGTGTGAGAAAAGTCTGCAACCCCAAACTATCCACACAAACATACTTGGTCACTTACACATAACACAGACATGTTTTTTTACATTGTACATAAAAAAGAAAGGAAGGCAGCGCCACTTCAAACCACATAAATTAAAAGAGCATAGAATAGGCAGACTAGAATGCAATATATAATAGATAATAAGCAAATAGAAGTCCAGAATAAATAGTCTGATTGGTAGATGAATCAAACAACGAGGTTTATCTTTGTAGAGGTGAATACAGTCTTTAGTAGTGGAGGATTCTTCAGAGTGGTGTAGATGCGTCTTTGTACATCATATGAAATAAAAAAATAACAACTGATGGTATAGTATGTACCGAAAGGGGTAGAAGCAATAAAAGAGTATATGGTCCTACTCACGTTTTCAAGAGCTATGGACTTAGCTCTAGTGTTGATAGCGTACAGTGGTATAATCCCCACTTATGGGATACGTGAGGTCTTAGTATTCTTTCTTGATTAGGGAACCATATGTGGAAATAAAAGCGGGAACAACAATGGTGCTCAAAGTATAAAATGCCAGAGGTGAGAAGATAAAAAACCAAGTGGTTACTCACATTTAGTTGAACAGACTAACTGTTCAATGAATACAGCTTGAGTGGTATAATCCCCACCTAGGATTCTTGGGAGTAATATCCTCACTGGAAAGTAAAAACACTTCTGGTGCCGGATAAAAGGATGGTAGTAGTAAAAAAGTAAAATGAGGGGCGGGGCCAAGCAGCCAAGATGGCCGGACGTGTATACCCACAGCTCCGACATCGTGGCCCGTAAACATCGCCTATACGACACTTTCCCTGCCGTGAGTAACCCTCCGAGACCCGGGGACCGGTCTGCTTCCAAAGGGGCACACATTGATACCTGAATCCTGCAACTAACCCCGACAGAACCGCAGATAGGCCCGGCGGCCTAGCCTGAAGCGAGACGCACGCGGATATCGCGGGAGAGACGGCCGCTCTCCCTCGGCCACAGTGCGCAACTACTCTCGGCATGGGACCCCGTTCCCCCCCATAGACCGGTGGGGGTCATCCCGATCCCCTACGCCCCGCAGCAGACAACAAAGCGGGCCCCAGCTGGCTTACCGCGACAAAGTTATGGGGAAGAAGAGCCTCTCAAAATGGCGGTACGCACCCCAACAAAACCCACAGACACAAGCACAGCATGGAGGCAAGATGCGGGCAGGTACTCACTCACAGACTGCTGACAAACTGGAGTCAAAAGACCGAGTCACAGACACCTGCACAGAACGGCTTACCCCCAGCGAATGGACACTTGACTTTCCAACCAGGTTTGAGGCCATATGCCGGCGGTTCTGGGCCAGCCTAGAGGTCAAACAACAGCCTCTAAAGTCACCGGCGGGCGGTACCACAGCGAACTCACCCACAACAAGACTATCACACAGGGCTCATAGCCCTAAAGAGCAACGGACCAGGGCACAGCTGAGGACGCCCCAAACTGGGCCCAGAGCCACGTGGGGTGTAAACCTAACACTCCACCCACACCGGCGAAAGAAAACAGGGTGCAAGCTGCAACACCGGAGTGGGACCCTAGGCAGCCACATACCACGCCAAACATCTCGGACACATAAGCAGAGTGCTGCAGAGGGCAAACGGCGCAACCCGCCATCACCTCATGGTGCCCACAGCAACAACCCCCCCAAGAAACTCCAGGACCCCACAGGACAGCGGGTGCAAGGTAGCAGACATCCGGCTTCACGGCAACCCCACAGCGGGGGAAGCACCCCACACCCACAGCACTACGCTGCATCTAGCAATGGACTGTGCACAAGAGTAACCAACGAACACCGCAGGGGCATCGGCAGAAAGACCGGAGCAGCAACAAGAGGGGCGAGCTTGATGCACCAACCCTACTCAAGAGTCGCGGCACCGTAGAGGGCACTGGACAAGTCAACATCCCCTTGCAACCTATTTGCGGACAATCACACTAAATGGACACTACACTGACTTCCGCATAGCCGGGTCAGCAAGTACACCAGGCCAGTCACTAGGCAACCCCTTACCTTGCCATACCTTGCGCAAGCCTTAACGTCCCGAACTTCCCTCCATTCTCTGAGCAGGACTAGTTTGCTTCACGTGGGCATTTACATGTCTCTATATTGGCGCCTGATGTTACAGTGTATATTAGTTACTTAGCGCTTAAGCGACTGCCAGCACACGATGGGTGTTTAGCCTACTAAATGTCAGGAAACTGTAAATCTGTATTTAAAAACGGTCAATCTCCACCTTAAGCAGTACCGTACCTAGCTAAAACGTATTGATCGGGCCAAAACATCTAACTTACTGTCTAACCACTGACCAACTCCACTTAGCCTAACGTAATCTTGATGCATAGGCTCTAGTTTATCCTTATTTACCTACTCTAGGTTTGCTAGCCTAGTATAGTTAATGTTGTCACTATCTCAATATATTCTGCATTGATCTCACAATTTATGTCGTAAGCCAACACTATCTAGGTTTCGAAAACATAGCCAATGCATAGACCTAGCATAAAGTAACCTACACAAGCGACTGTTTCTACTTGTTATCACTTGTTATTATTTAAAAAATGTGCCTGTTTATTCTGTGCTCCGCATGTTGAGCGTGGGAAAAGTTGGTGGACTGCTTTTGGGGCACCTCCTACCTACTTGTGATAAATATATGCACAACAAAAATAAAGAATTTAAAAAATTTAAATGATAATAGTAATAAAAAGTAAGATGGCTAACTCACAGTAAGAAAGTGGCCAAAATACCTTTATTTAAAACAACATAGTTTAAAAACCACAACGCGTTTCGCCCTTAGGCTTTATCAAGTGGAGATCAGAAAGTACATCCTGTTACATACAGGTTTATATAGGCAGTGAACATATTCGAAAAAGGCACCAAAATGACATCATGATTCTTTTTTTTTTTTTTCTTCTTCAAAAGTGCAAAATTTTATATGTGTGAGTACATACCTATATGGGAAACATGTGATAGTTTAAAATTAAAAACGAGGTTTTATACTCACAATACCTTACATATTATATTTAGATAGAACAGTCACATGATCGGCGGCCATTTTTAAAATTTTTTTTCAAAAGTGCTAAACTTTATATGTATCAGTGAATACATACCTATATTGGAAACATGTAATAGTTTAAAATTAAAATTAAAAACGAGGTTTTATACTCACAATACCTTGCATATTATATTTAGATAGAACAGTTACGTATATAAGTCAAAATATATAAATATATACTTCATGCACAAAATAATTATAGAAGATAAAATATATGAAATATATTATAAAAAATTAATTATAAAAAATTATAAAAAATTAAACAGGTCGAACTCTACATTAAGACCTTCGGGGGTAAGGGTTTTTAAAAGGAACACCCAGTGCCAGAGGCGTAGCGTGGGGGGTGCAGGGGGGGCCGGCCGCACCGGGTGCAACATCTGGGGGGGGGCGCGCTCAGGGCCGCCCCCCCCATGCTGCAGCCGCCCGAGCGCTCTGTAGTGAACCTCCATGAGGGCGGACCGCACCGCCCGGGCGCAGCCTGAGGAGAGGGGCTGACAGGAGGGAAGCGCTCAGCGATCAGCGCTTCCTCCTGTCACTCCCTCTCTGTAGCGTGGCCGAGCCCTGTATAGTCCGCGGGTACAGGGGAGCATCACATGCCACAGCACCCGGCGGACCCCTACAGCAGGAGATGCACACTTGAGTGTGCACTTCCTGTTGAAATCGACTTGAGGTACAAAGAAAGGCTTTCCCTGTACCCTTGAACCACTCACTCTGCAGGGCACCGGCCACACTACAACACAAAAGGTAGAGAGAAAAATGTGAGAAGGGGAGAAATGGGGAGGTGGGAGAAAAAGAAAGAAGTGTCAGTGGAGGTAGAAGAAGTAGGATGGGAGGGGAGAAAATTGTCAGAGGGGGTAGAGAAATTGTGAGGGACAGGGGAGAAAAGAAGTGGGAGGGAGGGAGAAAGAAGTGTGGGAGGGAGGGAGAAAAGAAATATTGAGGGGGAGGGGTGAGAAGAAGTGGGAGGGTAAGAGAAATTGTGAGGAGAAAAGAAATTGGCAGGGGAGAGAAGAAAGAAAAATTGGCAGGGGAGGGGAGAAGAAGTGGGAGGGAGAAAATAGGAGGGAGGGGTAGAAAGAAATTAGTAGGGAGGGAGGAATAAATAGGGGAGGTGGGATATTAAAAAAGAAATTGGTACTGGAGGGAGAAGAAATGGGGAGGGTGGGAGAAGAAGAAATTGGCAGGGGAGGGGGGAGAAGAAGAAATTGGTAGGGGAGGGGGGAGAAGAAGAAATGGGGAGGGGAGGGGGGGAGAAGAAGAAATTGGTAGGGGAGGGGGAGAAGAAGAAATTGGTAGGGGAGGGGGGAGAAGAAGAAATTGGTGGGGGGGAGAAGAAATTGACGGGGGTGAGAGTTACAGGGGAGGAAGGGGCAATGAGAGTGGGAAGGGGGAGGGGAGAAGAGAGTGACAAGGGAGGGAGAGGGGGGAGAAGAGAGTAACAAGGGAGGGGGGAGAGATTGACATCCATCACACACACATGCAATGCACCCCTTGCACACAGAAAAACACACAATGCATTACACACACAGACACACACACACACACACACACACACACACAAACAATGCAACCCTTAAACACAATGCATCCCTTACACACACAGAACACACACAATGCATTCCTTACACACACTCAATGCACCCCTTACACACGCACACTGCATCCTGTACATACACAGAAACACACCTTGCAGCCCTTACACATACAAACACAGATTCACACAATGCATTCCTTACACACATATCAGGACATCCCCTACACACTCCACCCCCTGTGAACAAACTCATTGGTGGAACATGAAGGTGGACCCTGGGACCCAGACCTTGAGCTGTGTAAAGGGCCCCCCAAAAATGGAGCTGCTTCCCGTTCTCCTAGTATATTGATTTTTGTGACCACAGTTACAAACAGCCTCCAGAGAGCCAGTTCTACACCAGACCAGTGGAGCCAGACTGCAGCTAGAGCCCATCATCATCCTCATCTGGTTGTAAGTAGGCAATCTAGTATATTATTCGTGGCACTAATTTCTAATTTACCTCACATTAAAGAAACACTATTCCATTGTTGAAAAATTTGCGCTAATTAAAAGCAGGCGAATTTAAATTAATCTGTATATTATATACAGATTGATATCTTGCACTTATGTTAAAGAATTACAATTAGAGGTACAGGATTGAGGAAGTTGGCTCCATCTAGCCCAGTCTTGGATCATCTCCAGGGTATGGTTCCATTTTGATGTTTAGTTTTTGTTCTTGATATTTTTTGTCGTTTACGATGGTTGTGAGACGACATATAATAGCATGGCCCATGCTAGGTTACTACATTTGTATATTTGTATTCATAGACCTGCTGAAAATGTGGAGAATGTGTGTAATGCATGTTCGCACTCAATAAAGTGTTGGAAAATAAACTTGTATTTAGATGCATTTTACTTTAATTACATAAGTATTTTCATAACAAACAATACATGTGCTTGGGGGGTAAGGGTTTCTTTAACTAATCTAGTGGGAGAGACTCGAGTGCTAAAATCCACGGGTTAGGGGGCGCAAATTACTTGCCTTGCCCCGGGTGCTGACAACCCACGCTACGCCACTGCCCAGTGCATTTCTTTTTGTCCCAGTAATTTTTTGAGGTCGCCTCCCCTCCAGGGTAATTTACATCTTTGGATCCCAGTACATTTTAAAAATGTAGGGTCTTTGTTGTGTTGAATAAAATGCTTTGAAACAGAGTGATTAAGGTAGCCTTTGATAATATTTCTACAGTGTTCTGCTAACCGTATTTTTAAGCATCGTGTGGTCATACCCACATACTGGAGGCCACATGGGCACTCCAATAGGTATACAACATTCTTAGTAGTGCAACATATTAAATCTTTGATAGGGTATGCAATACCTGTTTTGTTTGAGGTGAATTGTGTTGTTTTTGATGTGCTGTTTTGGTCAGTGGATCTGCAGACAATGCATCTGTTGCATTTGAAAAAACCTTTAGAATTTGATAAAAAATGATGGATTGCTTGTATTGGCTTTTTTTGTATAATTTTTAGTAAGCATTGTCTTTAGGTTTGGGGCCCCTCTAAAAATGATATGGGGTTTATCTGGGATGAGTGTCTTTAAAATTACGTCTTGTTTTAAAATGTGCCAGTGTTTTTTAATAGTTTTTTTCACAATTTTATTCTTATTGTCAAAGTTAAAGATGATCGGCATGGATGGTGGGTCTTTATTTTTATTCGTATTATATTCTAAGAGCTCAAGCCTTTCTTTTTGTTTCACTGCTTTTAGGGATTCTTCTAGCTTTTCTTTTGGGTAATTTTTACTGATAAATTGAGCTTCTAGTGTTCTAGCTTGTTCGTCGAAATCTGTATTAAGGGAACAGTTCCTGCGAAGACGTAGGAACTGACCTTTAGGGACCCCATCCAACCATGGTTGGTAGTGGCAGCTTGATCTGTCAATGACTGTGTTGGTGCACACTTTTTAAAAAAAAGTTCTAGTGTTAATATTCCCATCCTGGATAATAATTTGGATGTCTAAAAAATTAATTAAATCTTTGCTGTGTTCTGATGTTAAAATGATGCCACTATTGTTGTTGTTTAGATGGTTTAAAAAAAGTTTAAGTGAGGTTTCAGGACCTTTCCAGATAAAAAAACAAGTCGTCTATGTATCTAAAATAGGATACTAGGTTTGCTTTGCAGGGGTGGTCTCCCCAGATTGCTTTAGATTCCCAATTCTCCATAAAAAGATTGGCATAGCTTGGTGCAAACCTAGTACCCATAGCTGTGCCTTGTCTTTGAATGTAAAAAGTGTCTAAAAAACAAAAATAGTTATTTGTTAAAATAATTT